AAGGCTTTCGGGAAGAGAACATGTCACGTAGTATTTGGTACTTTGCGCCAATCTTCGAAGTATGGAAATCTGTCTGCCTCGAAAATTAACATTTGAAAGCTCGGATTTTATCCGGGGAGTATCACCAATTGGAAAATATGCAACACTTCACAATTATGTTAATCTGATCACGATTACTTTCAATTTGGCAAAAAGATTCAACATGTCTAGTGCCACACGACTCACAAGTTCCTTTAGTGGCATGTTGAGTGTTGCCTCTGACACACATGTGCGTCCATTTCTCGGTTTTATTTAAGTAAATATAAATAATACGGGCAAGTGACTAGACTCGGTTTCTCCTTTGCAGTACAGATCAAAAGACCCACTTATTCTATTGTGTTGTATGTTGCAAATATGCAAGTTAAGTGGATGAGTTAAGTGTTCATTTCGCCGAGTTCCCAATATTAAAATCATAAAGAAATTAAAAGTTTCTATTTTGAATATGAGTAAGAGTAAAGATCAATCTGCAGGATATCCGCGGATTATTCCCATAATGGAGAGGAGGCACGTTGGAGTAATGGATAGCGGCTTGAATTGAGGCCCATTCGCCTCTACTGTGTCAGCCGGAGGAATTTGTCCTAAATCTTCGTTTGTAAAGATAACTCATGAATTGAAACTGTATGATACGCCCCAAGTTTAACGCCTACCTTATTTTTTTTAAGTAAAACTTTATGAAAAAATAAAATACTTCATTGATTTACATAGGCAAAATTTAACAATATAAAATATAAATTTAAAGTAAATTTCAACAAAGGTAAATTTTAATTATTCGTACTGAAATCAGATTCTGAAAATTCGTGATTCGTCACTATGCTCGGAAAATCCTTTTGCCAATAATTGCTTCTTTCGAGTACTGACAATATTTTATCCTTCAAGTGTAACTCACAGTTATTGCCTTAGGTTGTATATTAGATTTTTTAAAAAATGATCGTTATCTATAATTACAAGTAATATTATGCATGTATATAAAAAAAAGAACCATGACATATATTCTAGGTTGAGAGATGACTTGAAACAGATCGTAACCACGCAGTGTTGATTCCTATGGTCATACTGTGTATATATTAAGATAATTGGATAGTAATTACGGTATAATAGAAACGATAGAAAAACAAATTCAATTTAAATTTATTTAAATACTAGCCGAATTACCCGCGCCTTGCTGCGTGTCACACATGTTTTGTAAGATTTTTTTTTTTATTTTAAATCATTGTTATAGTTTGTGGAGGAAAATCATGCATTTCAGTATTATTCAATTATCTTGCTGGTGTGACCTCCATCTTCTGGCTTTCTTCTTCTATATTTTGGATAGGAGTCATTCCCTTATTCAAATTTAAATCAAAGGGAAAAAATTCGGTGCTGTGTTTGGGCAAAAACAGATTGATCTAACCCCTTTGATATATCCTAGATGCAATAATTGATTGAATAAATTGAGTAGATTTCAACATTGATATGACAGTTGAATTGTCGCAACAAATAGGTATTGTAAGACACTACACACTGATTGGCGATTTCTTGCTCAACTTGACGTCCACATTGTTTTATTTTGATCTTGTCGATGTGACCTCCATATGCTGGCTTTCTCCTTTTATATTTTAGATAGGAAGTAATTCCCTTGTTCAAATCGTTGTTATCACAACGTTTCGGATGTTGTGCACTCCGGGCTTCAACAGGTGCCTATCCACCCGGGTAACCCCAGGGAATTACAAACCGAAATCTTTATTTAATCTACAGTGTTATACTGTTCTCGTTCCACTGCCCGTGTCTAGAAATATCTCGTCTAGTCCTTATTTCTAGTACTGCTCAGTTAATGCATGGCCTATTTCCACGGGAGAATATCTTAGCGGATTCGTCGATGATATAGTAATTATGAGTTCAATCCTTGGGTCGGTCAGTGGAAACAGGTCGGGCAATAAATGAGCTATAAATAAAAATAAGGGCTCGACGAATTATCTCTAGACATGGGCAATGGAATGAAAGCAATCTAACCCCGTAAATGGTTCAGTTCGGAATTCCCTGTAGGTTATCCACCCGATGTATGTTGAAGGAACGGAAGACTCAACAACTAAAAGGTTGTGATGACAAGAACAAGCATGGGGACAATAGTCCGTATTTAAATAGTGTAAATTATGTAGATGCTATTTATAAAACACAAACAAGAAAGCATCTTAATGTTCAACGTCTGCAGCCGAAGAAGGCTAATTTTCAATTCCACGTTTGAAGAAATTTTAATTTTTTCCCCAAAGTTTGAAAGGCAATTTTTAACTTCTTAGTTCTGAATAGTCTGCTACTTATGGAAGGCTCTAGTGACCAAAACAATTGAAAACTTGGAAAGTAATAAATCTAGTGAATATGGAAGAATCTCTTATACTAACAATGTTAGTTTTTCTTACGGCCGTTTTGCAGAGTATGACTTTTTATTGTTATACTTGGGTATAACACCTAGTCCTTTCTGTATGTGTGTGTCGGTGTGTGTGTGTTTGTATGTGTGTGTCTATGTGTGTGCGTGTACGCGTGTTCGAGGTTTGTTTTCGAGAATAACTTAAAGCTTGAATCTCATAAAATGGTTTTGTCGATGTGCTGTTGTGTCTACACATCCATATTTATCAACAGTTTATAAATATGGATGAGTACGCACACTATTCTGTGCTTACACACACCAGGGACGTGTATATATATATATATATATATATATATATATATATATATATATAGAGAGAGAGAGAGAGAGAGAGAGAGAGACGGAGAAAGAGGAGGAGAGACGCAGTAAAACTAATAAAAGACGACAACACGATGGTTGAATCGATATTTTAAAATAGTAGAACAGAGGAATATATAACATCACAAAACATTTCTGCTTATTTGCGTCGCAGGCTTCTTCCTTTGATATGTCAGGCAAAATAAAATACTACAAATTCTGACCCACATACAAAATACGGATTGCTATTTTTTAGTTGAGAAATTTCTTTCTTTTTTTTTCTTTCTTTTATTTTTTAAAAATCTAATGAAACCAACTCTGCATAGTTTATACATCTCTTATACGCATCACGAATTAGAGAAGCTACCAGCTAGAAACGTTTGTTTAACTTTGTAAACATTTTCATACCATCGTAAGATCTAAACCATCAAAGCAATTAAGGTAATCGCTTGAAAAGCACATTGATGATTATTTCGACCGGAGCCAAATTAGCGATGTTTTTGTTTTTTTAAAAAATAAAAAAAATAAAAATAAATAAATAAAAAACTCGAAACGATGTCTGCTTTAAATAGATTTCTTTTCAATCGTCAAGGCAAGAGAAGAAACACCCACCGAAGGGGATTTAGCTCATCCTGAGTAATTTGAAGCATTATATGACTACAAAAATGGTATAAAAACACTGGAGAAGACATAAAGGAGATGTAAATTAAAAAATAGAAGTTTTATGAAATCAAGAATGTCTTAATGTAATATTCCTATTTTGGTAGAACAAAGCAATTCATTTTTACGACCGGGAGACTGGAGATCTTATGTCTCTTGAATTTTACGACCGGGAGAGTGAAGACATGGTGTCTTTCATTTTACGACCGAGAGACTAGAGACGTTATGTCTCTTACATTTTACAACCGGCAGACTGAAGACGTAATTCCTCTTTCATTTTACGACTGAGAGACTGGAGACGTAATGTCTTTAACATTTTACGGCTGGAAGATTAGAGACGTACTGTCGTTTACATTTTATGACCGGGATCCTGAGGACATAATGTCTCATACATTTTATGGCCCGGAGACAGGAGATGTAGTGTCTCTTACATTTTAATGCCAGGAGACTGGAGACGTAATGCCTTTTACATTTTACGACCGGGAGATTGGAGACGTAATGTCTCTTAAATTTTACGGCCTGGAGACTGGTGACATAATGTCTCTGCAGTTTCTAGTTCTAGTTTTTCTTTATCGGGGCCGTAAAGACTTCAATAAGGAAAAACATCATTGTTTAGCACCGGTGTTTTAACGAACACATATACCAATTTCCTAAGATTCGCTAGTGATTTTTTTAAACAAAGACGTAATTTAGTTTGTTCAAATTTTAAGTGAAACCTGCAGAGACAGGGTTTGAGGTAAGAAAAGCTGGGAAAATTTGACAGCACCAGCGACAGTTTTTGATGTACTATACGTAAAGTGATACAGCATGATTGGATCATGACTCCCTCGACGTAACTTGTTCAAAAAGCACTTCGTATAACTAATGGACCAGTTGGAATAAAGTTTGTTCTTTTTTAAATTAAAAAGAAAGTCAGCTTTCGCGTCATTTTCTGCAGAAATCAAGGCAACACAAATGATTTCGATTCGTACATCTTCACACGCACGGAATAGCAATGGCGGTTTTATAATGATCGTTGCCGCACTAAAAGAACCGATGTTTTTTTTGTTCTTTTTTTATGACGCTGCCATATTGAAATCAGCAGGGAATTGCTACGTTTCTGATTGACAGAGACCGAAACGGATATTCTCACACACGGAAATTACTCTCGATTGCTTCTTAACTGGAATTTTATTTTTGCTTCTTTTTTCTCTCTGATCTCTCAGTACGGATCGCCAATTATATAGGGATTCTAAGATCCAAATATCTCATTAATTTCTTTTACTATGGTCTGAAAAAATTATGAAGGTACGTACTAGATAATTCCCCCATAATTCACTCTGCTTAAATCTATCTATCTATCTATCTATCTATCTATCTATCTATCTATCTATCTATCTATCTATCTATCTATCTATTGTAACCTAGAACAGGTTACTGAAATAGGAATAACCAAAACGGAGGTTGGAAACAAAATACAATACTCGCCAGCGGCGTGAAGTAGGTAAACCACTGCTAGTGGTGGACTACTTAGATACCATATTATTCCCCCCATCCACCCACAGACTTAAAATAATGTCCAACGTATTCGTGAGGATTGGGACATACCCATTAGTGTTCATAGGTACGGTATATAACATATCTATCTATCTATCTATCTATCTATCTATCTATCTATCTATCTATCTATCTATCTATCTATCTATCTATCCCAGTGTGTTCATTTCTATGATCGGAAAGTTCATAGTTCGACTAATAAAGGATTCAAAATGAAATTCTGATATTTGGTTACTTGGTCCAATTTTGGCAAATGGAGCGGATAGAAAGGGTACTGCACCTATTCTCTGTCTGTCTCTCTCTCTCTCTATCTATCTATCTATCTATATATATATATATATATATATATATATATATATATATATATATATATATGTGTGTGTGTGTGTGTGTGTGTGTGTGTGTGTGCATTTAATAATTGTATATTTGGGCAGCAATCCCTCTTTTATACAGGTTTCATTAAAAACGACTGGCAAGTTACTGCGGTTAAGTTTTATGTTTCAACATGAGATATGTATTAGTTTGAGAAGTACGGTCCAAGTGAATTGCCCATGCTAACTCTGTTGGTTTGGCTATAAATATTGCCAGTATGGTCGTAAGGTCATCATTATTATTTCTTAGGCTGATATCGTACTGTGGTTTGTTATATTCGGGTTCGGTCAAGGTGTGTTTTACTATCTCATTATACCTTTGGATTTCATTATTTAAATGTTAGATTTCATTTTTAGCTGTTGTCATTTGTCGTAAAACAAGGTTTATTTTTCTGAATGTTGCAGTGTTACCTTCCTTGTTGGCTGGCGGGTCATGTCATTTAATATTTTTGTTCATTTGGACAACAATCCCTCTTTTATACATGTTTCGGTAAAACGACTGATACTGAGGTTAATTTGTGTAGTATGTACCTTATTTTTTTAGTTTGAGAAACATATATATATATATATTGGATAGTGGATCATTTCTAAATAACAAGAGACATGTAGCAGTTTGAGAAGTACGGTCCAATACACACACACACACACACACACACAGACATATATATATATATATATATATATAAAGATAGATAGATAGATAGATAAAATCGAAAGAGGACTTTAAAAAGTATTTATTCTCATGCAATTCAAACAAAATACTTGAAAGTTTTTCAAATTTTTAATTTTCTTCTGTTTTATAATTAAGACAACCAAAAATAAACTGACAGGAAGATACGGGTTTGCCGACATTTTGAATTGCTTCACTAAAGGAAAATTGGTTTAAAATGATTTTCTTCTGCCTGCTCTGTTATAATGGCCTCTTCTTCTGTTGATTTAATCACAAATCTATCCTATTTACCAACGTAATTTCGATATAGGAGTCGCCAGACCCGCGCAAACAGCTGAAGAAAAGCCTTTTAGAGTAAAATATGATAAACCATTTTCTTGATTTTGGCGGGAGAGTGTACGACGAATCCTGAACTTCGTCTCCAGTGACTGGAATTTTCCTTTAACAACTACTTCCAACATAGCCGTAACATTGACACCGCACATACAAAATGCGCTTTAATTACCGAAATGACCATCGAACCGCTTGCAAATGCTGTCCAGTCCCTTTCAAACGGTTTTAAATGAACAAAACTAAAACATATATGAAGGACCAACAAAATATCTACTACAAATTGCTTAGAGTTATAAAGATAAGAATTTGTGGAGAGCCATGGCATAAAAGTGTATTGAAGCAGAGATACGATAGTGAATTTTCTATGTCGAAAAAATCAACTATAATTAGGAAACTTGGGGTAACAGAAATGTAGTTCTACAGAAAGTTGCTGAAAATACCAAAGATAAAAAAAAACAAACAAAAAAAAAAAAACAATACGCCCTCATCTCAACCATTTGTATGTCCATGGAAATATATTCCTGGCTTTCCTCACAGACCACCAAACTAGCTAGAGAAATTAACTCTTAATAAATATAACAAAGTCGACCTGTAAAGAAACAAACTTTGGAACTTGTCCAAATTTCACCTCTTTTCCCATTGATTGTGCCGAAGATAAGGAGAGTTACAACTCTAAAAACACTTTACCATTTTTCTCCAAACATTCCCGCTTAAAGTTTGTTATTCTTTAATCCCATGCTTTTGTTATATCTTTCAAAGATTGCTATGTTTTTCCAATGTGAGTCAAATTAATAAAGCCTTTCTTTGTAATTTTCTAAGAATGAAATTTACAAGTTGTTAGCAACTCACATGACAAAAATTGGTTGCTTAGTAAAAGCTGTCACGTTGATGTAGAATTTTCCTGTATTTTTCACAAAATCTTCTATTTATATAAACTTGTAAAATCATTATTCAGTTATATAAATGTTTGGATCTTTTCTGTTAATTCACCTCAAAATGAAAAGAAATAATATTTACTAAAATTCGCACCAAAATCTACCAGAGCGAGGCCCTTCCATTGCACACCGGTTGTGTTGACCTTTGCGATCGCCCTAAACGTGGGCGATGTGGGTGCACTACTTCTAAGTGTGTGGTCAACATTCGCGCTCACCCAGATAAATAAGCCAAAAACAATTTTTTTCTTTCTTTTTTTTTTAATTGTAAAACATTTCTTTTAAGTATCTCGAATATCATCAGTACTTACGAAATGTGAATAATTCCCTGATGTTTGGTATTTTCTCCTTCTTTGAGCTGCAGATGTTGCAGAGGCAAGCTAAACAAATTTTGATTTATAATTTATAATTAAAAAAGAGTGCCCCAAAATTAAGAAAAATAAACAAACTTTGATTTAAAATTTATAATGTCTTGGGGTGAATTAATATTTGCGATAAGTAACTATATATTATTAGGCGTTAATTAATAGAAAATATCCTAATGTTTATTTTTTTCTGTTTCTCCATGAGCGTATATAGAATAAAAGGAAATAAAAATAAATAAAAGCAAAAAAATTCGTTTAGCGATTTTTCAAAATGGGTGGTTGTCTATTTTTTAGTTATTCTTATCTCGAAACCTATTGCTCTTTTCAGGTTTTTCAAAAGAAATGCATCAGCGGCCTGTCAGTTCAAAATGATTTAATTCTTTCTATTTATCAAATTATTCGCTCTTAAATTATATGATTTGAAATTTCACCTTCATGCACAGATTGTAATTTCTATCCCTGTTTAGCTTTATATTTTTTATTAGGTACCATTTTACTAAAGGGGTGACGCAATGCGCACCTTGGCACTTCATCGGACGAGTTTTATTTACGTTGCTGCCACTACACATTCGTACGAACAAGAGACACTGGGAATTTTAAATTAAGAAAAACAAGTTAATGTGTTTTGGGTATACAGTCTAACCGATCTCATTTGCGTCTAGACTCTTACAACCTATCACCCTTCCTGACAGATCTGTTATTATTACAATGTGGGATATTTAATAACAAAAATCATAGAAACAAAAAGAAAAAGAATGTAAATGAAACTGGCCAGATTATATACACAAAACACATTAAAACATTTTTTTAATTTAAAATTCCTGAAATCTCGCTTTCGTTCGATTATGGTAAGATTCGAACCCAGATTTCATGATCCTAAACCAAACGTTTTAACCATTCGGCCGCGATCCCATTTCTTGTATGCGCGCGTGTGGATGTGTGTTGTTAGGACGTTATGTAATGTTATATCTAATAGATGTCTTTCATACTGGTTGTTATTATTTCCTTTCAGGTCTGAGTTGTTCATTTCATAAAAGCGAAGATGAATGCAAATCCCACTGCGGCCTCGGCTCCCCTACAGGTCAGTGCCAGGTTAGAAAAGGAGGAATCAACACGCCATCCCCACTGTATTCGACATGCAGCCCAAACATTCAGCAATGTCCGGATGGAACTTGCGATGATGTAGAAAAGCAACACCCAATGTTATGCCCACAGGACTGTACAAGTAAGTCTATCCATATAAATACAATAAAGAAAGAACATTTTTCTGACATTTTCATGCATTTTTCGGAGTGTTTGGTGCCTTTTAACAAATATCAGAATTGTTTGCACCTGTGACGTTATCATTATAAGGACTAATAATAACAGAAGAATTAATCCTGCATGCGTAAAATTATTCGTCTATATCTCTGAGATGAGTTATTATGATTATTTACATTATTTGGATTATTATCCTCCTCTTTATTGCTATATTCACAAAGTTTCGACCGTTGTACGCCCCGGCCTATTTCAGGTGATTGGAATTTTGAACTGAACACTTTATTTCGTCCACCGGGGTAGATTCTTTTAGTTCCACGTGCCATGCTTCTTCCGGATGTCTCAGTTATTCCCCTTTAACTCAAATCTCCAATTATTTTTGGTTCACCACTGTTGTAGCCTTGTATTGAATTCACAACTCTTTGGGTCTAGTCATTGGTTCTAACCAACGTCTTTATCCACTGGGCCATGAAATTCATGCACAAATGTCCTCAAGGAGAGTTGAGATAAAAGGAGATAACTGAGACATCCGGAAGAAGCATGGCATGTGGAACTAGAACAATCTACCCCGGTGGACGAAATAAAGGGTTCGGTTCGAAATTCCAATCACCTGAAGAAGGCCGGAGGGTACGACGGCTGAAACGTTATGGATATGTCAATGATGACCCATTTATCAGTCCGAATAATGTAAATAATCGTAAAATTATTGTTTATTAGTTATTTTACAGAAACGCACCTCTCCAAGAAATTAACATTTTTGCAGATTGTTTTTTTTTTCATATTGCTATTGAATAAGGACTTAAGATTATTTATAAAAATATTTAAAAAAAATAAATTTTAAGAAAAGGATTCAATTTTCTATGTAAAATGATCATGCAACACAAGCCAAAATCAAACTCATTCTACATGATAAATCATATTACAGAATTTCTAGACTTACCTACTGGTCAGTATTTTAACGACCCGAATTGTGTGGGGTGGTTTGAACGCCGTGTGCGTTGAATTCTGACAGTGATGAATTGCTTAAGTTTTAATATATGACTGAAAAAAATGCGCCAAGACAGTCAGTCTGGGTGTAGACGCTTCTCAGCTCCCAGATTCCTTGGTGTGCTTGGGTTCAGCAGATTGAAACAAGCCACCACGTAGTGATGGCAAATCGTTGGCTGACCTGTTGAGATCCGTCACCTCTATCTCTCGCCTCCCCACCCCAAGAAACGATGCTACTACTACTACTACTACTACTACTGTGCCTCCTGCGGCTGAAATAAAGCGAGGAAAGAAATCTATGAAAATAACCCGACGTTCATTCTAATTTGGGGCCTGAAGAATTACTAATAGAGTCATTCAGTTATGTGCCATGCGTGATACAATTAATATCCGTGTAAAGGCATGAGGTTTTGAGGGTTTTCTTCGAACGTGGATCTTCTTCTTGCGAGAATATGAAAGTTTCTCTGACTTTTCCTTTTCCGGTGTGTCACCTTTTTAACTCTCTATCACCCGGTTATCCTACATATGTCCATCCTATACACAGCTGGGTCGAACATCTATTTAAAGATCAGGAGCGGTCATTGAAATACTGTAAGGAGCGAATCTGTACTGGTTGGCTATGAAGCTACCTCTCAGGTCAACCCTCTGATCATTCTGCTGTGACACGGAGTGCAAAATCAGCTTTTGTATCTCTTAGGATGATCTCAGTACATACTGCGGCCAGTGGGTAGGATTTGCTAGACTGAAGTCAACAGCCACGGCGGAGGGTTTTCCCGATAGAATCAATGGTCACGTATCCGTGACCAAGGCGAGGTTTCAAGTTGGAGGATATAGGATGTGATTAGATATGAAGAGGGATGGGCTCCGTCAGGTCTACTTACTCAAGATACGCTCGCACAAATGCATTCCCTCTGATTAAGCAGAAACGAACAAGAAACGACATTTAAGGAGCAAAATAAAATATAATATCCCATATCAGTCAAAGTAATGGACATCTGGAGATGACCGGAACGTATTTAGCCGAAACGTCTATAATAATGTCTATAATAATCAAAATGAGGGAAGCATTTCGAATAAAACGAATAAGGGAAAATATATTGATCACTTCTTATCTCACAAAATCAAAATGAATGTATGCATGTATATTGTATAGCCATATGGTCGAGGTGTTAAAACGGGTTCGAATCTCAATGAAAGTACTTGAAGGTCACAACAGTGGTTGGTTCAAACCATGTCAGTGAAATTAGGGAGATGCAACCATTCGGAAGCCGTTGGTGGTTTAAGCGTACGGGTCTTGTTCAACTACTGATCATGACAGATTATACGCCCCCCCTAGAAACTGTAACTAAGGTCTGCTCAACCTAGCTACACTATAAACCACAGGTTGGATCTGTTGAATAAACACATGTGCCTAGGCTGCCCCCCCCTACCCACAGATAGTTACCTATCCTAATAGAGAGCTCTATTCAGAAACAAGTAGCCAGCTATTCTTATGTTAGTTAAACATTTCTCTGTGGCCATTTTGTGAATAGTGTTAAGAAAGAATTATAATTGCATATTTATACTCTCCCAGATAAAACGAGGAAGACAAAAATGTGCACTGTAATAACGTTATAATGTGCGAAGTTGCCAAGGTAACTTGAACTTAAAAAATGTTATTTTTTATTAGTATATTTAAACGTTACAGTATAAAGAAAATTAAAAGAATACATTTAATTTTAAATGTTATAAAATGCAATTAAAATCAATTAAAATACATCTTTTTTCTAATTAAATTATTAAAGTACGAAACAAAGTCTACGAATAAAAACTTTTCGTAACCTAGCAACAGATGCTACTATGGCGGACTTTTGTAATGTTTTGATTGCATCTCTCATTATTTTTTTTTATATATGAAGATCGTTTAAATAAGAAAATTATCTCAACCGTCTGAAGACGGAAAAACGATTGCAAACGCTGGACTTTAGGACAAGAAAATTTGTTTGTTTCGGGAAGGGTTTGAATTTTATGTATACTCACTTTTTATGCTCCAAAATACTTCGCGTCCTGGGTATGACGATAAACTACATCCGCGTCCTGGGTATGATGATAAACTACATCCGCGTCCTGGGTATCACGATAAACTACATCCGCGTCCTGGGTATCACGATAAACTACATCCGCGTCCTGGGTATCACGATAAACTACATCCGCGTCCTGGGTATCACGATAAACTACGTCCAACAGCAAGGACTCTGATAATATGTTTTTGAAAAAATAATGTTGCCAACTATACGTTTTTGAAAAAATAATGTTGCCAAATACGTTTAATTACTATATATTTAATATACGTTTATATATATATATATATATTTATATATATATATATATATATATATATATATATAAAAAAATTTGGCATTAAATGACCTAAAGTGGTTGATATGCCATAAAACCCAACCAAGCAACCAACCAATGTACTTCATGGCTATATTTCTCTGGACTTAGATTCTTTTTTTTTTTTAAATCGAATATACTTTTAAAATAATCTCCGTTCGTTTATTTTCCAATCCTTAAACATGTAGAAGACATTAAGTATTCCTTCGTTGATGTGATTTATTTATCTTCTTTCTTTGTGAGACTTTTCATAATCTTCATCGTTTCGCATTTCTTTTTCCCTCTATCTTTCAGGAAAGAAAGTCACTGGCGGCTTCTTAAACGACAAACACAAACCAGCAATGGGAATTAAGCTTGGTGAAGGATGGTGCTCCTGCGACACATCCGGGTCATGTGCCTGTAAATCGTTACCCCGAGCTAAACCAATCGCTGGTAAACGTAACACTACATTCCATATTTTTTCTTTTTATGTGCCATGTCCTTTCAGGACGCAGGCAATCACGGCTTTCTATTTCCCCCTCTCCCTTGTAGCTCCCAATAAGTTCCGTGCCTTTGCCAACTCCCCCCCAGACCACGTTCTGCCATCCACTTGCGTTGCTTTCCCTTGTTTCCTTTTTCCTCTATTCGACCTGTGAGTATCAGATTTTCCAGACCTTCATTTCTCATTACGTGTCCCAGAAATTTCAGCTACCTCTTCCTGATGTTAAGTATAAGCCTCCTCCTTGTTTGCAACCTCTCTAAGACCTCATCGTTGCTCACACACTCGGTCCATGATATCCTTAGCACCCTTCTTCAGAACCACATCTCCCCTACCTCCAGTCATCTTCATCTTTGAGGGGACCGTCCAACATTCACTGCCGTATAGGAAAACAGATGTCACGTAGAAGCTCAGTATTCTTTTCTTTGTCACCAAAGAAATCCTCTTGTCTCGCAATATTCTACTAACCTTTTGAAATGCATCCTTGGCCATCCCAATCCGTCTTCGGATCTCAGCGTCGCGCCTACCGTCCTCCGTCAAAACACTTCCCAGGTATTTAAACTTCCGCACCTGTTTGATATTAGTGTCCCCGACCTGCAAATCGCATTTTGGGCTCATCCTTTTACTGATGACCATGCATCCTGTCTTCTTGTAGTTTTGTGCTTAGTCCTTTCTTCTCATTCTTTGTCGCTAACTTCTGTAGGAGATTTTGTATTTTTTTGCCGTGTCTGCTATCAGTACTGTGTTATCTGCGTATCTTACGTTGGTAAGACTGTGGCCGCCAATGCTGAATCCCTGTAGGATCTCCAATTCTCTCAGAATTACTTCGCTGTATAGGTGTATAGTCCGGTGAGAAGACACATCCTTGCCTTACGCCCCTTTCTATTTCTGTATATTCGCTGAACTCATTCTCTATGAGCATTTATGCCGTTTGCTGCTAGTGTACTTTCTTGATTATTCTAATATCTTTCCCGAATATATCAAGGTTGCTGCGTAGTTCCAGCAGTTCCTTGTGGCGTACTTTGTCGAACGCCTTTGCGTAGTCTATGAAACATAGGTACACGTCCTTCTGTATTTATTATTAAATGCACACGCAAACAGACGCGCACACACAGAAAAACCGTGTATGTACGCAATGTTTATATTTAAATTAGTCTATTCGGGTAGTAGTTTCTAATTTTAGCAACTTTGGTTAAATACCAACAAATGTTCCTTGTTAATTATATAATTTATTCATTTTTCGAAGTTGCGTATTAGCCTCTAGTTTTCAGGTTCAGATTTAAGAATTTATTTTCCAGTGTTTGAGTATTGTCGGCTATCGTTAGCTAAAACAAAAAGACGCGATGTTTGAAAGCCAACACCTTGAACGATATTTGTAAATAAAACCAGTTGCAAAACATTCTCAGCTGACATGAAGTGGGATAACTACACTGAATCTATTGCTATATCAGCTGCTAAGAAAGTTGGTTCACTGTGTCGTGTGAGACAATTTTCTTCTCCAAATCTATCTTGCATATCTATAAGCCTGCTATTCGTCCATGCTTATTATGTCTTCTCGGGCTGATGTTCTCAGCTGACATGAAGTGGAAAGACTACACTGAATCTATTGCTATATCAGCTGCTAACGAAGTTGGTTCACTGTGTCGTGTGAGACAATTTATCATATATATCATAATCTATCATACATATCTATGTCTACCATTCGTCCACGCTTAGAATATTGTTGCCACATTTGGTTCGGTGCTTCTGCTGTTTATCTTGAGGTCCTTGATAAAAAAAAAGAAGAATCAGCAATATTATCGGTCCTGATCTGACGGCTCGGCTCGAGGCACTTACCCACTGCCTTAAGGTTGCCTTTTTGTGTCTTTTCTATAAATACTTTCATGGTAATTGTTCGGATGTGCACTTCGCTGTGGTATGTAGACTTTTTGATTTTAAGTACAGTACTAGACTGGCGTTGAGATCTCATCAATTTATTGTTGAGTTGACTGAATGTAGTCGTAAATTCTACGCTAACAGTTTCTTTTCTCGTACTACTTCCGGCACCATGCTTTCCAGCCAACTTTAATCTGCAAAAATTTAAATGCAATGTCAATTGCTATCTATTGTCCTCCTAAATACTCTTTTCTCTTCCCGCTCATTATTAATGTTTCAGATCCTAATTCTTCCACAACCAGTAACCCCCTTGTGTCTAAGTGGCTTTATTGCCCTGCATGAAGTGATACCCATTAAAAGAAACAACAAAAAGATTACAAACAGAAGTCTTATGATAATGGCTAACGATATCCGGACGTATTCAGACATTTGGAAAATATATTCTCAAATACGAACCTGAAACCAAGAAAATAATCCGTAAAAAGTAAATAAAACATTAACAAAGAATTTTTTTTTGGTATTTACCAAACTTGTATGAATTAAAATTTGCTGACCAACTGGCATTTGACCAAATATTTTCAAATGTTTACATTCGTAAAATAATTATTTAAATTTAAATTAGCATTTTAAACTTCTAAAAAAAATGGTATTAATAGAGTTAAGCTACGTTTGGCACAAGGCCACTGGTATAAAATGTGATTTATTTTGTATTTTCCCAATTTAGTGGTAATCGTTAATCCCGCGTATCGTATTCGATATCTACTTGCCGCCTCACGCAGGTCAGTTTAATGTGGGGAGCCCGAACGCGTGCAACCAGTACAGGTTCCAAAATAGCCGATCACCTTCTTGGCAAATGTCGATTGCGCTGGCATCGATATTACTACCGATTCCCCCACATTGTCTAGTGCAACGAGGGAGATCCTGCTGCAAGCAGTTGTTCCCCGGGGCCTGGTACCTCTCAATATTTTTTGCTTGCGCTCTGACCGAAGACCGAGAAACAACCGAGAGATAATAAACGAGATACGACAAACGAGATCTCGCAAGTCTGACTCGAAAGACTCACGCATCGTATCCTGCTACTTCCCTTATTGTTTCGGCGCTTATATAGTCTCTATGCCTTAGCTATGCTAAGGCATAGAGACTATAGGACCTATAGCGACTATAGAAAAGCAGTCCCTTACATATCGCAACAGACACAACAAACAAGATTAAACTTAACTGAAATACCCTGCGATGTTACATATTCAAATATCGCATTACGGCAAATATATTTGTCAAACATGTCAGCTGTCGGCTTTTGGAAATATAAAGTAATGAGAGAAAAGATAGCATCAGACTTCAGTTTTTTATTCTCGTCTTCTCTTTGTTCAAACGTTATCGAAAGGGTTGTGTAGCAAAGCTACTGTGGTTCTTCCTTTAATTTCCGGTTGACATTTTCAAATGTCCATATTCCGATGACAAGCTGTAAAGCAAATTGCTTGCTTCACTGTTGTTATTTTTTTAATATGCCGATTCCTATTTGTACTGAAATGAAAATATTATGAATGAAGGATAAGGTTCTAAAGATGATATAAATAAACATCGAATTATCTATAAATGTGTTATATCGGAATAAAGTGTCGCTGCCGACACTTGGGCCTGAACACGGATCGCCAGAGAGCAAGCACAGTCGACCTCATCTTGGGAATTAGCGGCGTTTGACCAATTATTTTCGCATTTGTTGTTGTGTTTCAATGAGTTTGTGTTTGATTGAGTGCTTGGGATGAATGAATGTTTAATATTATTAAAGTCCCGCATTGATGTCGTCCAGTTAACTCATGTTTCTGACACATTTAGGGATTGTAGGGGTTTTTTATTACTAGCATTATTTTGTGTAGTTCTATACATTTTTATAAATATTCATTGGGGTTAGATTTTTAAATTTGTTGTTTTATTCCCCTCCCCCGACAGACAATGAATTGTACATATGGGGACTAGTTAGGACTTCATGGAGTTTTTTGAGGCATTATTATGGATGATGTAAGAATGGTAAGTAAGTTTGCATTGTTTTGGTGAAAGGAATATTGTTGTATGTTTGGGTTAGTGTTTTTGTGTCTAGCTAAGTATAACGTTAAGATAGAATAAGACCGTCCTTTTCCCCATTCCCCCTTTTGGCCTTGTGCCACATTTTGTATAATTATACAAATAAGTAATGTATTGTTCGAAGGCGTTACTATTATTGTATCTGTGATTTACAAAGTCTCTTCTGCAACCGGGTATTACAAAAAATGTAACAGCAATTTGTCATCAGTAAAACACAGACAAGTTGAAAGGTAAGATTTCGAGAAACATGTTTTTTATGTTTTCAAAATTTTGCATTAGCGAATCGCAAAATATGCATATGGGTGCATAACATTATTGAAAAGTAAGAACAGTAAAGTCGTAAAATACTTTTCATACGTCCACATTTAGCCATGTACTTCCTCCTGATGCGCCCGTGTTGCGCGCGGAAATACCGTCGACAGTGAGATCAACGCTTGACGGCAATCAAAAATCTGAAGACAATGTTCTGTTCATCTATTCTCATGTATGTTAAATATTTCTCTCTGGCCACTTTGTCAACAGTGCTCAAATCCAGATAAAAGCTAGGATTGCAAACGATGAACTTCAGAACAGGATAATTTGTCGCCTTTCGGGAAAAGAGTTTGAAATTTGTGTGTACTTGTAATAGGAATAATTTCAACATAACTCACTTTTTGGCTCCAATATATATATATATATATATATATATATATATATATATATATATATATATATATATATATATTTCACTGTCGCCTTTCTCCTGTCTTGGGTTATTTTTAAGTTGAATAAATTTAAAAAATAATCTCCGTTCGTTTCTTTCCTAGATTTAAAAAAGGGGGAAGCTAGAATTTGTTTTTTACGCAACTGTTCACGCAATATAAGACACAAGAGCCACTTAACGTAGAGTGAGTAAATGGTGTTCCTTTATGGATATAAGAATTGTAGATTATGAAGATATGTAAGATAGATAACGATTGACTCAATACTTTAAGTGTGTAGTGCTCGAGGAAGCATC